AGCAGTGGCTTGGGTATTGGTAGAAACATTGGGAGAGATCAAGATCGTTTTTATTAAGGTAATTGTATCTTGATCTATTGTGTTTTTCATTCCTGTTCCTAAGTATTATTGTGTTAAAATAAGAGGCTTTTGTTGGGACCTTTAAGGGATAATTTTGGGGAGAGTTTTGTATCCAATCATTTTAACAATATTAGTGAATTACCCACATCTGGGTGGAAGATTGGACGTAGTCCTTAGTGGTGAACCAATATAACTTTGCTGTGTCGTTTTCTTTTTATTTGCATATTGTGGTTGTGTGTGAATATTTTCTGTAGAAGAGAAAATTATACACGACCATTAATTGGTATCCGAGAATATCACTCACACCGTTATTATAAAAGGGTTATGAAGTTCACTGGAGAAAATTTCAGTTTTTGGAAGATGCAGGTAAGGATATTCTTACATACAAGAAGATACACAAGACTTTGGTGGATAGACCAGCGGAGATGATTGACGAGGATTGGAATGAGATGGATGAGCAGGCCGTTGCGAACATCATAATGTAGTTGTCGATGAATATTTGTAGTTTGGTGGCGAAAGAGACTACAACGAAGGAATTGTTGAAGGCCTTGCAAGACATGTATGAAAAACCTTCTGCCAATACAAAAATACTTTTATGGACGGAGTATTTTAATATCCACATGGATAAGGGAACCTCAGTAAATTCCCACATTAATAAGCTCATCGATATCTTGAACAAATTAGAAGGGATGAGTGTCAAGATTGAGGAAGAAGTGAAGGCTATGAGACTGTTGACATCTTTGCCTGACAGTTGGGAGATGATGAAGACCGCGATGTCAAATTCGCTAGGGGAAAACAGCTTGAAATTTTCAGTTATTTGTGATGCCGCCTTATTTGAGGAAGCTCGAAGAAAATTAGGGAAAATGTATGCATCTACTTCGGAGGTAAAGAACGGGGTTGAATCAGCTTTGGTAGTTCAGAACAAAGGAAAAACAAAGATGAATTACAATGGGAAGCGGCAGCAGAGATATAACAGGAGTAGTGAAAGTTCCAATGGAGAAGTGAAGTGTTATTACTGCCACAAGAAGGGACACGTAAAACGCTTTTGCATGAAGTTCAAAGAAGATTTTGAGAAGGGGAATAATATTGCAAATGTTGCAACAGGAGAAGAACGGATTGAAGAGTTTCTGGCTTGTGTTCAGAGGAACATATTTGTAAACTAGTGGGTAATGGACACTGCAGCATCAGCGCATGTTGCTTCAGACAGACGTTGGTTCTCATCTCTTGCTGTAGGTGATTATAGCTCAGTGAAGATGGGGAATGAGTGTATCTCCAAGGTGAGAGGAATTGGAGATGTTTGTTTGAAGACAAGCGAATGGACCGAGTTGGTGCTACAAGGCGTTAGGTATATTCCTAGCTTCAGATTTAATTTGTTATCTGCAGGGAAGTTAGATGATGATGGCTATAGCAGTGAGTTTGTTGGGGGTTGCTAGAAGCTCAATAGGGAATCCAAGGTGGTGGCAACAGGCCACAAGAGAACTTCTGTTTATGTGTCTGAATTTGAGGTTCCTAGAGGATCTGAAAGACATAGAATGCACAGAGTAGCTACAGATGGTTCAGACGAGACTTGAAAGAATCACAGCATTGACAACTAGGACAGATCAGAATAATCTGTCATCAACTCAAGTACTGAAGGGATGTGAATCCCGGAGCGGAAACGGATTTTCGTTGCTGATTTTCGGGATACAAAAACGAGTTTTAAAGAAGAAAATACAGGGGAAATTCCAAACCTTTGAAGAACGTTTCTTCAGTGAATTCCCATCGAACACCACCACCGGATCTTCCTCGCTATCCTCTTGGGTCTCAGGATCGTGCTTGTGGTAGCACCTTGATTGAAGAGAGGGAGAAATTGAGAGAATTTTTTAGAGAAATTGTTGGGAGTTTTTTTTTTCTTCTGTTCTGTCACCACTGTTCTTCACCTTCTCCAACACTTGGAGAAGAAGAAGAAGGGTGACGTGGGGTAACTCCCCACGTCACAACACCTCCCACTCCCCTGCAATTTTGCAGGGGAGTTAATATTAATAATAATATTAATATATATATATATGTATAATATATAATAATAATTAAAATATATATAATAATATATATATATATATATATAATTAATTAATCAAATTAATTAATATAATTAATTATTAATCCAATTAATAATTAATAAATATATATATACATAAATAATTAACACTTAATTATTTATTATAAAATTAGAATCATATTCTAAAACATTTCTCTCGTATAACCTATAGTTTTAACGTACATCTTATGCACATTATTTTTAACCTATAGTTGTCTGGTCATCCTAAGAAATGTCAACCTATTAGTTAACGGTATTACATCTAAAGATTACCTATTTCGCGGTCCGGTCTTATACAAACTCATTGTAAAGGAT